CTCCCCCGCACCCCGGCGGCCCGGCCACGCGCCCCGGCGCCAGTTCAGCGTGGAGAAGCTGCCCGAGGCCTTCAGCCCGCAGCCCCCCGGCCTTTATGGCAGCGCGGGCCGCGGACCCCGGCACCTGAGCACCAACAGCAAAGCCGAGGTCACCGTGTGAAGACGCGGCCCGCTGGTTCTCCCGAGCCCTCGCGTCTCCTGGGGCCCTCGTCTGTCTGGGGGGCGCCTTGGGCCGGTTCCAGGGGAAGAGGGGCGCCGGCCGTGGAAGGCCAGCCCTTCCTTATGCCTGCCCAAACTGGACTGGGGCCTTGGAGCCTGCAGGGCTAAGAAGGGGCCCACTGGGGAAGGCCAGTGGTTCTGTTCTCGGGGCCCTAGGGCCCGGGTTCCTCATGTAAATAAAGCCTTTTCTGTGGCTCCCATCCCTGACAATAAAGGAGCCCCGGCTTGGCTGTGAGAGGCACTGATGGTGGAGGCATTGGTCATTGACTGGACAGACGGCGGTCCGGGCAGAGGGCACAGCATGTGCAAGAGCAAAGGACTGCTCCTGAGAGCTGCCGGCAAGTGTTCTGGGAGCCAGGGAGAAGTGGCTGGAGAGGGTAGTCAGGGTTGAATGCCAAGCTTAATGTCCGCGCCAGTGGGAGCCATGGGAGACGGGCAGTTGTGCCCCAGCCATCTCGAGGCTCCAGAGCACAGGGGAGAGGGCTGTCTGGGAGCCTGAGGCCCCCGGGAGGGTCCATGCCCCTTACTGGAGGTGAGCCCCCTCCAGCCAGTCACTCACTCCACATCTTGAGTTGGTTGAGCCGGGCTGATCCTCATTGACATAATCTGGCCCTGAGCCGGCACCTGGCTTGCAGGCCACTTGGCCAGCTTGGTCCAGAGCCACCCCCCTAATGGGTGTGGGCAGTGGGCCAAGCGGACAGCTGGTGCTCAGGATGGGGGAGCCTCCTCCCAGTAGCTGCTCTGGGGGGAAAGCGAATGCGGATGCTGGACGCCGAGCCTTGGCAGTGCCCCCACTGGGGGGAGCTCACACATGCTCGGCTGGGCCAGCTCTCCCCTTCCTGCCAGGCAGGCTCTGGGTACCTAGCCGTGTCTCAGGGCATTGCCAGCAGCCTGGGTGTATGAGTTTTGTTGTACCAGGGATGGTTGGGGAGGTTGAGGTCTGGGTTATGCCCCTCACTGTGTGACATCAACAAAGCCGCCCAGTTGGGCCTCAGTTTCCCTCCTGTGTACCCTTGGCATCGTATGCTGTTTTAATAACAATGGTCACCATCTGTTGCTGCTTCTTTTATTTAGTCCTTACAAAAGCTCCATGGGTGTGTGCCTTTATAGATGAGGAAATTGAGGTTTTGAGACCTAAGTAACTTGCCAAGGTCACCCAGCTGATTAGTTTAGGACTCTTCTGTCTTCTGCAACTGTGAATCTGATGAATGGCAGGCAGGGCAGTCTGGGGACGAAGGGAGGTCTGAATGTGTGTGCTGGCAGGAGTGGGGTGGGGCGGTGCTGCTCCCCAGGAACAGGCAGTCTCAGATCTTCCTCCTGGCAGGGCTGCCCTGAGGCCCCCCAGCCCCCAGCTCTTCACCTGGAGGAGGGCCCATCTCACTCTTCTGGCTTTTGAGGAATCCAAGGCCCAGAAGCCGCAGGACAGAACAGAGCCAGGAGTCTGTGGTCCTGCCTGCAGTGAGGACCCCTATGGCTGGTAGGGGAGACAATCCTCACACCCTCAACTGGGGGCGGGCTGTCCCGGGCCTATCCTGCAGCTGTGTAGAGAGCCGGGGGAGGAGGGTGGGTGCTGAGTCATGGAGCCTGCAGAGACTCACAAAAGGATCAGGTTCCTGGGCACAACGGCCACAGCCACCCACCCTGGTGACACAGGCCCTGACAGGTGGGTGCAACCCCTGTTCATTTTCAGTCCCAAGGACCCTAGATCTCCATCCCAGGGGGGCCAGGCTGAGGCTACGGGCAGGGCCGCCACCGGAAATGCTACAGCTGGGCCCCTCCTGGCTGCTCTGGCCCTCGGGACCGTGTGGCCTGCTGTGACTCATTTCTCAGCCAGGCCAGGTCACAGACCTTGCTCTCCCCGCCCCAGACTCCTCCCCAGGTCACTTCGGACTCCTCCTCTTCCTGCCCACTGCTGCCTGTGGTCTTGCCCTCGGCTGCTGCACAAGGCACTTAACTATAAACCGGTACTTCGTGTGTGTGTGTCGTATCACTGAAACCCGCCAACAGGTCTACGGGGACTTGGTCAAAGGTGGGGACTGTCATCCCTGTCGCGCACACATGGAAGTGGAGCGGAGGTGAGGTCCTGCCCCAGGTGACCCAGCTGGGAAGTACGGGAGCTGGACTTGGATGTGACTGGCGGACCAGGAAGGGGAAACTAAGGGGCAGCCCACCCAGTAGGGGGAGATTTATCTTTGAGGGGTGAGCACACACGGGCTTAGCACCCCAAATCCCAAACCCCTGCTGCTGTGAGCGGCCAGCTGTGTCCTGGTACAGGGACCTCGGCCTCCAGCAGCGCCTCGGGCTGCCCTTCTAACCCAGGCTCCGTCCCGGCAGCGGCGTCGGAAGGAAGGGGACAGTGTGGGTGGGGGAGGAAGGTCCTTCCGACTGAAACCTTCCAGGGGCCTCTCAGCAGAGGGGGAGGGGCTGTCCTCAGTCCCTGACCCCCCAGAAGCCAAGCCACGCAGCCACCTAGTCATGACAGCGGTCACACTACAGACCCTCACACGCCTCCTGCTGGGTGGTACCAATCTGTGTTTATTGAGTAACCTACATCCAGGACACAGTGAATGATTCCATATCAAGGAAGCCATAGGTGTAGCCCCTTTTCCGTGAAAACCCACCCCCTCCCACCCCTCAACAATAATGAGAAAAGGCACGGTATATACACTGAGACAAGGGCTGGCTCATGGCGGGGGGTAGGGCGGGGGCCACGGATGACTGTGTGTGGGGAGGGGCGGCAGAGACAGAAAGGGGGTAAGGTCCAAGCCGAGCCATTCCAGCCTGCACTCGGCATCAGGGGGAGCCCCCGCTGCGTGCACCCCCCAGTCTGTGCTGGGGCCCCTGCACAGACGGGGAGGAAAGGCAGCCCCTCTCAGCCTCACAGCAGGCTCTGGGGTCTCAGGCAGTCCTCGGGTCCTGCTAGAGATGGCCTCAGGGGAGGACCCAACCCGGGTGGGGGGATCCAGAAAAGTGGGACTTTTCCTCCCAGGACCCCCGTCAAGGCAGGGGGCCTTATTCCTAGTGTCCACCCCAAAAAGGGATGGGGAGGGATTGGGGGTTGGTCCCTGCCACCCTGGCTTATTTTCAGGTCCAGAATTAGGGATAAAAATAGACTGGAGGTGGAGTTGGAGGAAGGAGTTGGGATGGGAGGGAATTGAGAACCCACACTGAAGGCCCCTGGTCCTCAGTCCCGCTGGGTGGCTTCATGTCTCCCAGCCCCCTGGGCCTACCCTGAGCTTGGGCTGGCATCCCAGGGGGCGGGGGGAGTGGGAAGGAACAGAACAATTAAATAAGATACCATTTATTTTTTAAAAAATTAAAAAATAATTCCGACATTATTTCATCCAACCCCAGGCCTGCCCCCTGCCTCCCACTTGCCTCCCCAGGGCTGGGCTCCCCTCCTTCCTTGGCTGTCCTGTGTAATAAAGAGAAAACAATGAACTGGCTTTGTCAGGCACAGGGGAGGGGACACAGACTCAAGGAGAGAAATAAAGATGCCACAGCAACTCAGCCCTGCATCACGGCAAACCCAAGCACACGGATATAAAAACATCTGTATAAAAAGGGGGAAAGGGGCAAGCTGGGCACAGTGCCAAGGGTGAAGCGCTCTGGTGCCCAGAGACCTATGTCCCCCACGGGGAAAGCCTGATAAAAAACCAGGAAGCAGGAAAGGGGGCTGTTCGGGGAGAGAAGAGCTGGGAAGGGTTGAGGGCTGGAGGCAGGGGCCAAGCAGGTTGGGAGCCCCCGCTGCTTTCAAGTCAGGGAGCTCCTCAATGCCTGCCCTGCCCTGGCTTTCTTCTGCCAGCCCCGCGGGCCCCGGGACCACGGGCAGTTCTCCACAGCAGCTCTGGGGGGCTCGGCCCAGGGGCCTACCAGGCTGAGGTGGTCCACCAGCCTCAGCAGGCGACAGCTCCGGAGACAAGGCTCATCCCACAACTCCCAGAGGGAGCAGGGCGAGAGACCGAGAGACAGAGGGAGGAGGGCGAGGGAGGCAGCGGGCTGAGGTGGGCAGCGCCCAGGGGTCAGGAGGCGGCGATGGCCGTGCCACCCCCCAACTTGACAATCATCTGCTGGCAGTCGTTGCACGAGCGCCGGTCACCCGCCTTCTCCAGGGTGCGGGCCGCCTCAGCCAGCAGCACCGCCCGCTGGCCCGGGGAGGAGAGGAAGGACAGCGGAAGGTGGCGGCAGGCCAGCAGGATGGCGGTGGCCCGCTCTCGCTGGCCAGGCCAGGCGTCCACCTCTCCTGCGGGAAGGGCGAGATACGTGGAGGGACCAGTCACCGAGAGCCCTCCAGGACGCAGGGGCTGTTCCAAGGGCTTGCTGTGGGCGCGTTTATTGGACCTCAGGCACCCAGTGGGGTGGGTTCTGGTGCCCGCCCCGGGCCACGGACGACCGTGGAGGATCGTGGCTAGTACCCTGCAGCTAGTACTCGGTGGTGGGGTTGAGACGCGCCCCCCATGCAGTGTGGCTCCGGGGACACCCCCCCCCCCAGTGCTGGGACATCATCTCCCCACTCCTGAGGCTAGACCCACAACTCAACCAAACCGCAGCCTTCCGGCGTTCCCGGCTCCTCCCCAGCAGCCCCTGCAAAACCAAGCGTCGGGCTGACCCTGTTCTTGCACGCCCCCCGAGAACACTGCAGGTGGGGCTACCCACTGGGGCTCAGGCAGGGGCCCCAGCAGGCCCAGAGCCGGGGCGCCGGCCGGCTCACCGTGCTTGGTGCTCTGCGCAGCACGCCGGCGCAGACTGTGCTCCAGCAGCTGGTGGGTGCGGGTGGGGCTGGCTCCCGCCATCAGGCGCACGGTGGCTTCGTGCAGGAACACCTGGGGAGGCGCGGGGGGACACGGCCGTTCGGACCCCAGCAGGTGCCTCTCCCGGCACCTCAGTGGCCGCCCCGACGGCAGCCCTTCCGCCCACACGACCCTGCCCTGCTCTCCCCGGGGAAGCAACCTCTGTGCTCACCGGGCCTTCCAGTCCCAGCCAGGAGCGGGGAGCACGGCACAGGCAGGCTGGGGGGGGGCAGCCATGAGCCTGAGCCAAGAAAGACGAAGAGGACTGCTCCCCTCTCCTGGACAGAGAGAGAGCACGGACACGCCCCCTGGGTTGGAAGACAAGAGGCCTGGGTGCAGCCTCAAGTCCTGGGGGGCTGCCTCCAGCTTGAGACCCGGCCGAGGTGAGGTAGGGGCAGCAGGAGGGGGGCTAGCTGGGCGGGCACCAGGGAGGCTTGGTCCTGTTTCCTTCAGTTGCTTCAGAAAGCGAGGCCAGAAGGTTTCCAGGTGAAAGTGCAGCTCTTCTGTAAATACGAGTCACTGGGGAATGGGAGGCCAGGCCTAGATCTAGGATTCCTTAAAATCTCAAGGCTCCTTTATACCTTCGTATCTCCATCTGCGGGAAGGCTACGGGGGGAGCACTAAAGAGTGTCAGCAGCGGGCAAGCAGGATGGAAATGGTGTCTCAGGAGAAGGCCTTTGATGCCAACTGTGCCCCGAACAGACCACAGGGCCCCGAACCCTAGGGCACACTCCTCTTTTCCCCAGCGGAGGGTGGGTCCCCGGTGATTATGTGTTTTGTCCACTGTCTGTCCTGGCTCACTGCACACGGGAGCCACAGTGTGACCCTGTGAGGGCCCAAGGAGCAGGCAGCCTTGCTTTTTTTGTGCCCTTCCCCCACCCTCACTGACACTTCTGCCCTTCTCACTTGAGATTTTCGAAAGTAATTCAGGCAAAACCATGGTGAGTACATTACTCTAATTAGCAATAAAAATAAAACAAGGAAATTATTTGGGTCCAATAAGCCCAATTATACAACTGCCCTCAGGGACTTCTCAGATCCTGTGGCCGTCACCACGGGGATGTGACGGGCAGTCAGGCAGCAGAACCAAAGCCCCCAGCGGCTCAGAAAAGGAATGAAATGAAGTTCTAGGGAGATTCTGTGACTCTCACACCAGTTAGAAAAACCAGAGCAGAGCTCTCTCCGTGCCCTTCCCAGCCATCCCAGGGCCAGAGCTCCTGCCACCCTCGCGCTCCACAGGTTCCGCAGGTGAGGGGCACTCCGTGCGCAGGTGAGGGGCACCCTGCCTATGGGCCACGCGGCCTGCTCGCTGCCACGCCCCAGCCCCGGGCACACAGCAGGTACCCCACTAACACATGCAGAAGGGGAGACCCAGGGGCGCCTGGGTGGCTCAGTTGGTTAAAGCGACTGCCTTCGGCTCAGGTCATGATCCTGGAGTCCCAGGATCGAGTCCCGCATTGGGCTCCCTGCTCAGCGGGGAGTCTGCTTCTCCCTCTGAC